GTTTATATAGTTCTAATTTATTTGTCTTTATTCTAATTTATTGTCTATAATCTAATTTATTAAAACTCACGATAGCTAATTACTAATTTATTAAATAACTTTACAAATGTATTTATTTCACGTTTCGTTACATTTAAATACCGCGTTTACCGATCTTCTTATGACTAACTCCTCAATGAAAATCTTCCGGTATTTATATGAAACCAGCTTGTAACAGAATGTTGTAGAAAATACGATGCCGTTTTCGATCTCGACGTAGACACGGCGGCGACTGGTCTCAAAACATGTTCTTTATCGGCTTGTCGCCCCCAGAACATTCGATTGTTGTTTGTCAGGTAGATTTTTGACCTAGAAATTACGAGAATCAATACAAAAGAATTAGTCATAAAATATTTACAGTTCTATACGCCATAACATTTAAAATCGTAACAACTTACTAGAATACTTTTTTATTTCAATTATAAGTAGAGTTAAGAGGAATATAAAAAAAATCGTCATACATTTTAACGTAATAGAAATATTGATTGATAGAGTACAGTAAAACTGTTAAATTTTAACCTAAGAATTTTTGACTTCTCACATGGGTTGGTTGATGGTGAAAAATTACTAGGGTGGTAATAAATTCGTAAAAACCTAGCAGAACATTGTGGTATTTCAAAAATAATTTTTAATAATTCTGCTGGCTCGAATATTAAGCTAGCAGGAAACGTTTCCCAATAAGATTTATCATGGTGATATTATAAAGAAAAATTATCATGGTGAGCAAAGTTTAGTCTAAACTTAACAGAACAGTTCTTTGTTTCAGTTATAAGTAAAGGAGAGTGAAATTGTAAAAGAATATTTTTCCACCTTAAATTTTAAAGTAACAGAATTATTGGCTTTCCGTAAGAGGCAGTTGAGGGGTGAATAATTACTAAGGTCGTAATAAATTCGTTAAAACCTAGCACAATACTGTGATATGTCAAAAATATATTTTTTTCTAATTTCCCTTGCTTAAATATTAAGCTAGTAGGAACGTTTCCATATAAGATTCGTTTAGGGGTGCACGATTATCAAGGTGGTTAAAGTTTAATAAACATTTAAAAAACAGTTTTTTATTTCAGTTATAAATATAAAGGAGAGTGAAAGAACTTTTCTGCTTAAATTTTAATCTAACAGAATTTTTGTCTTTCCACAAGGGATAGTTAATGGGTGAAAATTATTAAGGTGGTAATAAATTCATAAAAATCTAGCAGAGCACTGTAGTATATCATAATTTTTTTTTTGAATTCTTCTAGTTTTAACCGTAAGCCAGCAAAATCGCTCTCCTTAAGGGTGGCCTGGTGGTGAAAAATTATTAGGGTGGTAATAAATTAGTGAAAAATGGGTAAAAAAACATGCCATCGGAAAAAAGTTTTTTTTTCTGAATTCTGCTAGCTTGAACCTTAAGCCAGCAGAATCGCTCCCATAAAGGGTGGTTTGGTGGTGAAAAATTATTGGGGTGGTAATAAATTAGTGAAAAATGGATGAAAAAATATGCCATAAGCAAAAAGCTTTTTTTCCAAATTCTGCTAGCTTGAACCTTAAGCCAGCAGAATCGCTCCCCTTAAGGTTAGTTTGGTGGTGAAAAATTATTAGGGTGGTAATAAATTAGTGAAAAATGGGTGAAAAAATATTACGTAGGTTAAATTGGATTCCGCTCGCTTCGCCTTAAATTGGATTGTCCCCGCTAGCTTAAGGATCCTCACGTCTAACCCAATTTACGTATTCTTGTGTCTACTGAAGTCAATGAGCACGATTTCCTCTAAAAAACACATGCACTATTACAGATCCTCGAACACCTGATGGGTCTCTTACAGCCTCATTTGTAATTGTGATGCACTTACAGTGCGATATCGGAAAGCCTGCCACCTCATAAAACAGCCTTCAATTTGGTTGGTTATCCTTGTACGGCCTGTATCACGTTACAGCAATATCGCCAGTTTCTTAACACCTTAAGCACAAACGAATAATGAAACTTCTGTTTGTGTGGAAAACCTCAGCAACGTCTCTTTGACTTCTGCCAGTTTGAAGCATCCCGATAGCACGCCACTGCCTGTGATTTAAATGATGTCTCCCCATTATTGGCAATTGCAAATCTAAATAAAAATCTACATAGACATCAAAAATCAATTACCAATAAAGAAAAATTACTTTTTATCTTATATACAAAAAACGCATATTAAAGTTGTGTTAAATTTTTCATAGCTATTATTATCTGCCTTACCGTCCAAGTTGGTACAATAATCTACAAAACATCAAAAAAATTTTAAAAAACATATATTTATTTTTGTATTTGCAGCTAATATTGATTTAAAGCTATTAATATATGTGTCCTCTAGATTTATTTGATGTATGTATATAGGTATTATATTATATACTTCGTTTTATCGTATTAAAAATTGCATACCTATATGTGTATACAATATTCAATTTTTTTATATAAATACCCATTTATAATAAGTTAAATAAATTAACAATTACATACATGCATTTAGTATAATACATTTATTGTGTCTATTTGTAATGTCATTTAATTTCAATACAATTTCTGTACATTTTATAGTCTGTATTTAATTGAATTATTTTATCATTCTCTATAGAACACATATTTCAGATTATTGTATTTAATGTTGCCTATGTATGACAAATGTACAAAAACTGCATAATTAAACTGACTAATCCAACTTTTTTATATCTTATCTATTGTTGATTCTAAATAAAGTATACAGTATATATTTTACTTCCTAATCAGTCGTCCGGTTCGAACATCGTACTACCTTGAAATTCTTAATCCTATTTCGCAATTTGTTTCTATCTTTTTAGGTTTTCTACACCGATTCCTGAAGCAGTTGGTTGAAGGAGTTGCACCATTCCTGAAGCAATGCTTTATTGGGGCTTCGACTTCTTTTGTAATGTGATCCACATATCCTGTTTCTTCTTCTCGGGCATTCGCGCCTTGCACCATTCCTTGCAATGTTAGCTTTTTCAGACCATCTCTACGCACCATATGACCAAAGTAACCGGTGATTTTTTTCGTAACAATATTTCGGTAACCTTTTTGTAACGTCCAGCAGTCTAAATATCGACTTGTTAGCTCCTCTTGCGATCAAGAGTATTCGCAACATTTCTCGCCAGCAAAACATTTCGAAGGCGTCTACTTCCTTATACATTAACTTCCTAAAAGAACCAGCATTCAGACCCATATAAAAAATGAAGCCGATTATTTTAAGTTGTTTTTCTTACATTTGGTATACTTTTATAGTTCTTACTTTTTTTGTCATTTCATCCATAATCAATTTGAATAATAGAGGACTCAGGGAAGCTTCCTGTCTTATCCCATTGCCAACTTCAATAGGGCCGGTTAGTTCTTTTTCTACTTTTACTTTTATTGTGTTATTTTGGTAGATATTTGCGATCGCTTTGATTATTCTTAGAGGTATCTCTCTTGCTTACAGTAAGTGGATAACGTCTTTTAATTTGACCCGGTCAAATGCCTTCTTAAGGTCCACGTAACATAGATATGCCGGTTTGTTGAATTCTAATGATTTCTCTTGTACTTGCCTCATTATAAATATAGCGTCGGTGCATGATCTTCCCGATCTAAAACCTTGTTGTTCTTCTACTAGTGTGATAATTTTATTCAGTTTACTTGTTATCACTTTGGTTGTTAATTTTAGTGTTGTATTTAATAAATTAATTCCTTCGTAATATTCTGGTTCCGATTTGTCACCCTTTTTGAAGAGAGGTATTAGGATGTTTGATCGTCATTCTTGAGGAATTTTATTTTGTTGTACTATTTTTGTATTAGTTTTAATAGTTGTTTGGTCAGATCTGGTCCTCCGTACTTTAGAAGTTCTTTCGGCATTATGTGCTCTCCTGGTGGTTTTCTATTTTTTAATTTCCTTAATGCTTCCTTTACCTCTTCCTCCTCAATATTTATTTCTTCGTTTGTCGTCACCTCTGGTGTTGGTGGTTCATTATCATTACCTTTAGCAAATAGGGATCGAAAGTAGTCTACCCATATTTCCTTCTGAATATCTTTGGTTTTTATTAGTTCGTTCATCTCTTTCCATTGCCCTCTGATCATTATCCATATTTCTTTTTGTGTTCCGTTGGAAGTCGTGTTCCATCTGTTTTGAGAAGCTCTGCCAGTGTTCCCTTTATATTTGTCTAACTAAAGTATTCGTTTCATTTCTGATTCGTTTATAGTGGTTATATATCTGTTGTGTTTGTTGTGTTCTGTATTGTAAAAAGGCTTTTTTCTTTTCTTCACATTTGGTCTTCACTTCCTTTCTAAACCATGGTGTTTAGTAATTATATTATTTTAAAGTTTTTCCCAACTTTCCTCGATATTATCGTTTTCTAATATTTCATTCTCAGCGATATTTTCTGATATTCTTTTCCTGTATAAGTAAGTATTCCGTGGATTCTTGACGTGGTTTACATAATTATGCCACTGCTCTTTAGCTGTCCGTTGGTAAGCTTCTTTTATCAACCGTTCTACCCTTTTTTCTTTAAAATCGACGTTGTTTGAAGCCATATACCTTTTCACTTGACTCCACACCATCTCAATCGGGTTCAGCTGGCAATGGTAAGGCGGCAGTCTCAAAATCTTAACGCCATATTTTTTCGCAATTGTTTCAATTTTGTACATGTCGTACTCGTCTCTAAATGCGGCCGCAGCATCCAGTAATTCACTTTTTAGGTATTTTTCTCAATGAAAATGTTCTTTTCGATTATCTAATTCTTAATTCCCTTTTGTTCCACACGGGAAATCTAATTAACGGAAGTGGAATGACGCGTTATCCAAAACGACAATGTTTTCTTTGTCTTTCGTCCAGTTTTATCTGAGTTGTATTGCATTTGTTATATTACTTAATTAAGTCCTTACTAAAGCTATATAATAAAATGCACGAATAAACGTACTAAACAATTACACAGATTCTGGTAATTTTCTGGTAATTAAAACAACGACTTACATACAATCATATATGGAGGATTAAGCGGTAAAAAATATTTGGCCTTGTTTAATATATTTTGACATTTTTGTATCAAATACTTTACATCATTAACGTCGTCTAATTTAAGTTGTAGTTCCAGTATCATTTGTAATTGAGCTAAAATCAAAATTATGTGTTAAAACAATGTTGTAAACCTTAATTTTTTAAGAAAAGCTTGGACAATTACAAAAAATTAAAACAGGCTATCTTACAAAATACATTACGATCACATGTTAATTTAAAATTTTTCACCAACTCTTAATCCTCATGAGGCTGAGGACCATGAGTCTTCCGATACATATTACCGCTTAATATTGTTACGATAAATATGACTCATAACCGAAGCTGTAAACATAATTATTTCTCTAACAAGTATTTTTTAGTAGGCAATATCCACGAGACGCTAAAACCTGTCTAAGAATTTTCGAGGAAGTTCAAAAAAGGTCACCAGCCGGTTCGAGGGAACTCCAGCTAACGGTTATTAAGTATATATAGAGGATTTTGTTATTGGCAACAGTTATTCTGAAAAGAGAATTTTATCGAGCCGTTGAATTGTAACGCGGAAATAAATTATATAAATTAGAACAGTGTAAATAGTGTAAAATAAATTATTGTAAGAATAAATTAAATAAAGACTCTAATAAAGTAAGTGTTACATTTTATAATAAATAAAGGTAATAAATTAGATTTATAAAAACAGCTCAATATATAGTAGGTATTCCATCTATAGTAGGTATTCCAGGAATACCTACTAGAATAGGTCTTGATAAGTTAATTACACTGGCTCAAATATATTATGTTCATTAAAGAAAGGAAGTGTTTTGATTTATTCTGTATTTAGTTCTAATAAAAATTAACACTGCTCAACAAATAGGTTTGGGGATACTTGGAAGTTATGTTCAAACTTTGCCTATTTATAATAATATAAATTTATAGCCTATTATTCTCGAGAGATATATTAAATACTTGTAATACTAATGTAACTCGGGATAAAATCAGGAAGAAGAAATACACGAATTCTAAGAAAGTGCAAAACGGAATAAGAAAATAACGAATGACAATATGAATGAATGACAAAACTTAAAATTTTCATTAAAAATAAATATTCTCGTATATGCCGCCAAAGTTAATATCATTGAATAAAAATGATCAAAGGACAATGAAATGAGTATTAAAAGCAACTATCCTAATAGGTATTATAGTGTATATCCGACTATAAGAAAAAAAAAATAAATTTTGATATTGACTATTAGGTACAGTCGCCAATTAAGGCCACCTTAAGGTTTAAATATCTGTAATATTTTATTCAGGAACAATATGGGGGAAAACTCCTGTATACGTATTGCCTAACATTTTAGCTATTAAATTTCAGGATAAAATAGTTACTAAATAAATAAAGAAATATAAAATTTTAACGTTGAATAGATCTGGAATATTTGGCCTTATTAGGAATTGGTAGCTTTCATGTTTTACACAAATTGAGGTGGATAATAAATTTTAAACCTAAGAATTAAAGAACAAATACAAAATTTAGTGAAAGAAACTTTTATTCATATTAAAAAAAAATTTGTCAATACATTAAGCACGCATATCGCACATTTATTCACATCTAGGACATACAAACATGTCCTTATCCTTTTTTGTTTACCCTATACATTCCTCGTGGATGTACTTATTACACCGAACACACTTGCGCATGTCAGCCACTCTATCCTCATTACACAAGAAGCAGTACCATGAGTCTTTTTTTAAATTTGGTTTTGGATCTTTTTTTAAATTAGGTTTAGGTTTGGCTGAGCTATGAGATTGCCTTTAAATAGATCCCTGGTAACTTCTTGTGCTTTCGCATTAATGGCTTGTCGACGCTTTTTTGTTGATAATTTCAACTCCGGTGTAGTCAGCAAAACACTGGAACTAAAACTTGCATTCAGCTCTTTACATGGCTCTGTTTCACTTAGTTTTGCCACCATATTATTGTCATAATTATTATCTGTGTAAACTACATCACTCTTCTCATAATCCTCGCTGGAAGCTGTATCGCTTGTATAAGACCCAGATGAGTCGCTGTCTTCATCTGAGATGTTCATCTGAGTTTGAAAAACTTTATACAGTCCTGTTTTTTTTAATTTTCATTTTTTTCACTATTCGACAATGCTTTGCTGTTAGATTTTTGGTTTACACCACTGCCATTGCTGCAGGATGGCTGTTCTTCGAAATGTGTATTGGTTTGGGCAGTCGGTACAATTTCTGGTCCGGTTATAGGACTTTCTTGGCATCTTCGGCCATTGATTCAATCTCTCGGTGTGTTAGACAGCTAGGTGCAAAGGCAGCATCCGGAATAGCATTTGGATTGAATGGCCATATCCCAGTTGCTTCAAATGCAGAACAAATATTTTTTTGTGTCATTGACTTTCTCCAAGCCGGCGTAAAGATTTGCCCAAATCTTGCTCGATTGATGGTTCTCTCATTTTTATGGTTCACCCAAAAATTGAATACCTCTTCATCCCAGTACGACTCAAAACTTCTGAAAACTGCTTTATCGAGTGGTTGAAGCTCGTGGGTGGTGTTGGACGGTAGACAAAAGATTACGTAATGTAGAGTTACATTTTTTTTTATTGCAGCTTCTACAATTCTAATGTCTAAGTGGGATGAAGCTCCATCAAAAATTAAAAGGGCTGGTCCACGATTTTTGAATCTGCAGAAGTGATCTAACCACTCTATAAATGCATCTGTTGTCATGCTTCCTTTCTTGGTCATTATAATTTTTGATTCTGCTGGAAGATTATAATACCATTCTGGCTTAACTCGTTTCCCTTTCATAATGATAAGTGGAGGAATGCTGTTGCATATGCCGTTGCCACATCCACGATTGTTACATTTTCGCCGTACTCCGGTGCAACAATATGGACCCTTTTAGCACTTTTACTAGCCAACACAGTTTGTTGGTGATGCAGCGTAAGCTGGCATCCTTTTTCGTCTATGTTATAAATTTGAGCAGGTTTTCCTGCGAAGCCCTTCTCATATAAAATCTGTCGAAGTTTCTCGAAATAGTCACTGATAACTACACGATTCAATTTTTGTGCTCTGGCCAAATTGAGTTTATGAGCCCGACGCTTTGCAATGTCAGGATGCCTTAAGAAAAACAATTTCATCCATTTTTTTCCAGCTATCTCCTTTTTAACTGAGAATGGATACCTTATTCCTGCCTCTTTTACAAAAGCATACACTTTTTTTCGTAATATTTTGGGGGTTAATGGCATACCAACGTCACACAATCTTCCTATACGTCTAACCAATTCTTCTTCCTGGAGTTTTGTAAGTACTGGACGCCGACCAAGTCGTTTTTGTGAAATGCCACTAGCTAGATGGTTACGGAACGTACGCCGAGGAATATTAAATGTAAGTGCTGCCTTATAAACAGCCATGCTATCTCGTATGGCATTCATTGCAGCTTCAATGGCCTCTTCGGTCCACTGTGCCCTTTTCCTGGTGGACATATCTGCAAAGAAAAAATATTTTAAGTCACTATGTACAGAAATATATGTAAAGTCCACTAGCTCTTAATAAGGCCAGTCCACTCCTAATAAGGCCAGTCAATTGACTTTATTAGGACACTGTCTACTTTTTTTATTTAACATAAAAAAAATAATAAAAAGCAATATAGCGAAAAAACAGTTCCAGTTCCTTAAAAAGTATTAATTTACTATCGCTTTACAAATAAAAAATAATTGGCGTATATTCATTAAGTACCATTTTAGTAATTTTATAACTTACCTCAAATTTATAAACGAACTTCGGCAACGTAACAAACAAGTGTTACTTGACGCTGCTATGTGATAGTATCGACTGAATAGCGTGGACGATTTTGACTGAGAAAACGATTTACGGTGACCTCTAATATATAATATCTATATTTAAGAAAATATTTGCTATTGGCCTAATTAAGACACTGGCCTTAATTGGCGACACTACCTTATATCATAAATTTTAATTTATCATAGCAGTAATGTGAAAAGTATCAAAATATAGATTTTACCAGTAGAAGGGTAGCGCCTTGAGAACACTTTGACCTTTAAACTTTGAGGAATCGGCCGACCAGGCGCTCTGACTTTGCACAGGCATGTACATATACGTCATATAGATAAAAAAGGGGGTTAGTTACTATACTTTTAACTACCTTAAGGTCATAAACACCGCAGATACGCATGATGCTAATATTGGAAATCTCTAAATATTTAGAAGAAAAAAGAAAAAACAAAAGTTTCTGATTTAAAGAATATGTTTTTAATGCATAAGATACTTGAAATATTGTTATTAAATTAATATTTTTTAATAAACAAGTACAGACTAAAGTGTAAAACATTATTTTAAATATTAATGCTACAGTTCGAAACACAAAATACAATTCGTTCTTTATTTTTATTCAGCGTTCGTCTGATTCTATTCATACTTAAATACATACATAATAAATTCTTAATTTTAATAATATGTTTTCTATAAGCCATCCAAAATATCGGTGGAATCTATTCAAACCAAGATTTCGAAAAAAAACTATTCGTCGGATAGCGTCTGATTGCGCATGTTTAAAACAACATATTATAAATAAACATTATCCAGAGAACTGTTACACTTCTGTTACTTTAAAAGAGCTTTTTTGTCATTAAAAATAATAAGTAAAACTCTTCCTGTAGAAAACTAAGATACAATTCGAATGTTGGTCATTGTGAGACAAATATGAACTGATTAAAATGATCATCAAGGACTTCGAGCCATAGATTTACTGTTTACTGTTACCTATAGGTCCTCGTAGACATTTGTCTCAGGGCGGCAGCAACCCCAGTTAAGAAGTCTTACGTTGCCATGAAGTAAATTGTGTCTTAAACTTAAAAATCGTAGAATATTATCAGCAACAATTTAACTTCAAATTAATTCAACTATATTTAAAGGGTTTTTACCGGTATATTTAGTAGTTTCACTCATGTATACCTAGTAAAATTACTTATAATAGAATAGTCATTCCAAAAACGTGTTGTGATGTAACACGAAAGGGTTTTTCTTTTTAAAGTAGTTTTTTTTATAAGTTTTTTTTTATTTTCCATGTATCCTATGCGCATTTC